CCACCTTATGCCTCCCATGGACATTTCTTCTCAGCCTCCACTCCTTTCAAACCCTATTCTCGAGCCTAAGCCTTGTGTCTGGAGATTTTAAAGCTTGTTAGTGATTCGTGCTCTCTTGTAGAAGAAGAAGACTATTGAAGAAGGTGGTGTTGCTTGCAAGCTTGTGGATCTAGAAACTACGTCACTTTGTGCATCTTTTGAAGGTATAAAGTTTATACCTTGATGTGTTTCTTTCTAGATCTCTTAAGTGGTTTTTATGAGCTTGTTGTCCCAAAGCATGGACCTTTGTGAGTATAGGTTACTCCAGAGTATTATGGTTGTCCTTTTAGAGGTATTAGAGTACTTAGATTCATAAAAGTGGTTGTTTGATGGTCCCTTTCCAACCATGCAAGATTTTGGTGGTGTTGACTACAGATTAAGTTAGGGTTTTCAGGTTTAAGCTCTTTTCAGCCATGCAAAGGCTTAAAGTTATGGAATTTATGGACTAAGACGTTCTTTGGAGTTCAGATCTACGTTTGGATTTCATGTCTTAATGATTAAGACATTTTGGAGTAAGTTTTGGGATCAGACGACCTACGCCCCGCGTACTTCTGGCTACGCCTAATGTAGACAGGCCTGACCCCAACCGTCCTGATCCTTCGAGTGCACCGCATATAAGGGGAGAGTACGTCCATCGTACGCCCTGGGCAGTTGACTTTTGCTGACTTTTGACTTTTGGTCAAGATTTAATGTTTTGGACCATGGAAAGGATAAAATTGTCTTTTTTTCCCTTAAGGAGCATAACAATGGGCTTTGGGCACCATTTAGGAATTTAGGCCATTTTAGGATTTTGGGTGTCTTTGGGCAGGGCCTGGTATTGGTTTATGACCAGATTATTAATTAGGATATTATCTGATGAAATTTAGTGCGAAGATTTTCCGGATCAGCAGTCCGAGCATTTATCTTGTTGTTTCAGCAGTTTGAGGTGAGTCTCCTCCCTGTTCTTGTGAGTCGAAGGCACCAATGCGGGCTCACTAAATTGTGTATGTAGGATGCTAGCTATCTTTGTGACTATTGCATGTTTGTATGAGCCTTTGTGGTAGTATGTATATATATATATATATATATATATATATATATATATATATATATATATATATATATATATATATATATATATATATATATGCTGAACAGCTGGGTCTCGCTTGTTGTTATTGTGATATGTGTTACTGTGTACTGAAACTTCGGGAAGTCTCCAGGGTTGCTGATAACCCACCAGGCGTGTTGTTTTCCCATTGAGACTTCAGGTAGTCTCCAGGGTTGCTGATATCCCATCGGGCATGCTGTTTGCCCACTGGGACTGCTGATACTCCCCAGGGTTGCTGATAACCCATAGATGTTTATTGGTATTGTGTTGTGTGTGGTATTTTGGGGAACTCACTAAGGTTTGTGCTTAAGATTTGTGGTTTACATGTTTAAGTTTTTCTTATATCAAAGTAGGGGCACGGCTCGACTGCATCGCGTCAATGGGGGACTTGTGCACACGATGACTCTTAAATGATACTCTGATAAATGTTTTAAGATCTTGTAGTTGTGATTTGAATAAACACTTAAATTTTTTAATTGATATTTTTGGGTTGAAATTTGGGGTGTTACATTCTTGTTCCAATTACTTGATTAAATAGTTGAAATCATGAGCAGACTTGCCTACTTTTGGTGGTATGTTCTTGTATTTTCAATCACGAAATCCTATTGTCTTATACATATGATTTTTTTCTATAAATAGACCATGTTTTAAACCATTTAAAAGGTCTTCAAGACAGTCCCTGAAAAGCCTTTTCATGAGGCTTAATGATGAAGGAAACTTAAGCCCTAACGGTGTTTTTGCTTTTAGCAATGTACTTTGTTTTCCCCATAAAAGCAATGTACTTTGATTCATGGTTTGAGGTTGAAATTGTTATTTTGACTTCTTGATATGTTGGTATTATTATGAACTCAATTTCTATCTTTATAGTTTATTTTGGCTATGGCTTAATGGGTTAAGTTGTCAAATAACCCTTAAAATGCAAAGCTGGGAAGTTTAGGAAAATTCCCATTTTGTCCCTATTTTGAAAAAAAAATATAGAAAAATCATCAGGGTTCAGATTGGGGATCTGTAAACTCTCAAGGTTTTAATTTTGAGTCTAGTTTGTCCCTGATTTTTTCTAGTACCTGATATTTATTCTAACCAAGATGAAAATCGTCATTTTCATTGATTAGTCATAAATTAGCTGCACGGATATGAAGTTTTGTAAAATTTATAGACAATTATAGAAATCTTATGGACATGAGCGAGTACTTTCTGAAAAGAGAAAATTCTAATCTATTGGAATATGAAAAAAAATATTGTAATTTCTAAAGGTTTAAGTTGTGCTAAAATGGCCTTGAATATGCTATTGTTTTAAGTCAAAATCTGAGAACTTTGCCTAATAACTAATTTGCATGTTTTAGGTAGTAAATTGCTATTCTTTGTTCGTGTAAACTTCTATTAATCCATGTATTTGTGCTTTAATAGGGGAAGGTTTGGAACCTCAGTTCCTACAATATTTGAAGTGTACAGAGGATGCGTTTTTGACAAACGCGAGGTAATCTTGTTGATTTTTAGAGTACTTTGATAAGGAATTCCATATCTTGGATGGATTGGAATGAACCTAGGTTTTTTATGTTTCATGTACCCCAATTGTGTGTGATATGTTATTGGTTATTATGATTCCTTATGTGTATGAGTATTTAGGATGCTTATATGCAAGATTCTTATTCTTTTGATGTGAGAGGTGTGATAAGGCCATGATAGAAAAAGTGTCTTGTATTGATCATATGTGATGTGTGCATTCTATAGTTTATTGGAAAATATTTGTATGTGATGATTTTGGAAAAATCATGCTAGTGAAATGATATCTATAATGATGATATGATATGTGCATGGAAATTGGATGTGATGAAAAATGTTATAACTTGTAATTTATTGTTTGCATGTTTACATAAGAACTTGTGAAGTAATATGCTAGAAAAAAATGATAATAAATATGCATGATTACTTATGGAGGTCATATGTGTAACTCCTTAAAAGATGAATTGACAATTAATTAATTAAAAGGGGAAGACACTAGTGGGACGAAGGCTAGCAACCTAGACATAGGTATGTACCATATCCAGATTATTTGATAGCCTAATGGGTTGAAAGATACCAATAGGATAAGTGTTGAAGCCAATAGAGATGTCGAGTGGTTATTCTAGACAATCACTTGGTACATGGTCCTTGCGGTGGGTGGACTAAAGTGATGTTGGCAAAGCGGTGGGGCCAGCGTAAACATCACGTGAGATTTGGGAGGTGTAACATAGTGGTACTGGCACTGCTTGTACTAATAATTAGACCCATAAATAAGAAGTATCATTGTAATAATTGTAATAATTACAAAGGTGACTGGCAGGAGGTAATTATTAAAGATGAAAAAGAAGGTTAATATTATCCCATAATATTATGGCGGTTAATAAAGTAATAGTTAGTTACAAAGATGAATAATGAAAGCTAACTAAAATGCTTTAATGATGAATTATATTAATGAGCACTATTGTGATGTAAGTACTGTATGTGATGTATGTGATGTATGTGGTGTAAGTGACGTATGTAATGGAAGTCGTGTATGTGATGATTATATGATATATCTTATGTCAAGCTATATGAGTGCTTGAATGCGTACTTATATGATGTATTGTCTGACCCATTTGGGGTATGTATGTTACGTAACACTATATTATGATTGACTCACTTAGCTTATGCTTACACTTGTTTATTTGCTTGTTATTTGTCTTGGATTGGAACATGTAGCATGATATGATGCCTTGGAGAGGATGGGAATCTTTTGGGGTAGTTACATTAATATATTTTAGAGATGATACCACTTTGGACATGTCGTTGAGTTTTCATTACTTACGGTTTTAAGAACTTGTCTTTGGTTGGTTTTATGAACTTTAATTTGATGAAGGTTGCTTTTGGAAATAAAAGTAACATTGGTGATGTTTTCATAAAATTCAAAATAAGACTTTAGCTAACGTATTAAATAAATGTTTAAAAAAAGTTAGTGAAAAATCACAGTGTGACACATGGTCCCTGTAGTTCCAAAAAAAATATAGTTTAGTTCTTAACTTTTTTTTATAATCAAAAAATGTCCATGTGGTTTCATTTGTTATTTTGGATATGTCTGACTACAATAAGTGAAAATGTTGCATGTTTTGATACAATGTTAGAATTTTGTTGTTTTTAGGGACCCTAACTTGCATTTTCTGGAGTCTCCTGCCTTTGCAGAAGTCCAAATTGACATTGCTGCTCAACAACAGTAAGACTTTGTTTCTTTTTTTAGTCATTAATTTGTTTTTGTATAATTTGTGTCTGGTGTGGAATGAATATTACTTGCAATTTTTTTACAGAGGTCACACAAGGAGTAAAACATTGATCTTTAGAAGATGGCATCAACTACGAACTTAATTGTCTTCAAATATATTTTTTTTTATTCTATGACTGTGACAGATGATCCTTCTAATTGGTGTTTGAAGATGCGAAGAGAGAAGTCAAAATATTACAAGCTTTAAATTCCACAATGCTTTTGTATAGGATTCCTATATGTATATAGTTATGGAGTAAGTTCTAAAACTGTACTTCATTTTATAGCAATAGCATACATCCTATTTTTTGTGCAATATCCAATTCCAGATATTTTCTATTTTAGAATTATAATAGGTTGAAATGAAAAAAAAAAAAAAAAAAAACGATTCTGGAAGACTTTATATATATATATATATATATATATATATATATATATATATATATATATATATATATATATATATATATATATATATATTTGAAATAAGATGCTTAATAAACTAATTTATATAACGTCGACCAAAATTAGGTTTCCCATATATTACAAACACAATATTACATCAAGGGGCTCTTATTCTATACAATGCAAAATTCCCCCATAGAAAATTTATGCTAATGATGCAGCAATATAAAACTAATTTCTTCTACTCTGTTCCATTTTTAATAATATCTCAAATCTCATATGCATATGCATAGTAAGGCATCCCATAGTTGCCGTAGTAGTATTGGTACGGATTGAAATTTTGTGACGCCACCGTGGGATTTGTTTCCTTTGCGGCATCTGGTTTCTTCTCCTCCACCGGACCAACACTCACTAGTTCTGTGTATCCGACACCTTTCCTTAGCAAGGTCGTCAGTTCAACTGAGTCAATTCCTTCTCCTGTCACTGCTATCTGGTCTTTATCTGAACCCACGAGAGAAGCTGATTCCACACCTGTTAATTAATTTTCAGATCATGATTTAGTCAAGTAATTCAATCAATTTCAATTGAGGTTTACATTTAAGTCGTAAAAGTGAAACTAGCCATTTCTCTGAAAACTACAATCGTTTGAAAAATGGGATACTTGATATACATGAACTTGAGAATGTGACAGAAGTGGTAAAAGAAATTGTGAACGGGAAAATCATGAAACATGATCTTACCGAAGAGACTAACGGCGATTTGAAGAGCCTTACGAGCTTTCTTTTCAGTGTTCATTGTGACCTTCACCACAATCTTTTGCTGCAAAATCAATCCATTACACAAATTGAGATCGAGTATTCCAAAAGTATTCAAAACAGAGTTGAATTGAACGAGTAATAAGGTATGTACCTTTGCCATTTCTGTGAATTAGATGATGATTTGGATCTAGTAAATCGGAAAATAAGAGGATTTAGAGAAGATGTCTGAAGAGTGAAAGTTGTTAGAGGGTATTTATAGAGCGTCGATTGAGTTCACACTTCACAGTAAATCACAGAGGAGGAAAAGGACGAGGTCAACGCCGTGGGAAGGAAACTTCCCACTAGTTACAAATAATTCGATTACTTTTCAAAGCTTTTGTTTGCATGCGTTTCATTTACATAAAATTTCAAATGACCCCTTTTGCTTTTTTTACATCATTATTGTTTAGATAAAATAAGCCTGACATACAAATGAAGAAAGGTCACAAAAGGTGATACACAGAGCTTTTTCTTATATATGTATCTCATTGCTAGATTATTATTTATTATTACAAAAGTAATAATATAAACGACAATTAAACATGTGATTTTGAAATCGGACTTGAAGCTTTCATATTAAATCATTACTAATAACTATTAAGGCTATCGTATTATAATTATTTATAGTAATAAAGAATACATATTACCTAAAAGTTTAAATAAATATTATATTATAGTAAATTTAACATTTCATCATTTGTTTCTTTTAATTTCTAACTTTTAGGTATATTATTTAGAATAAAAAATAAAAATAAAAGTAAAAGATTGATTAATTTTGATCTTAAAAAGTTAACGTATATGATGGTGTTATATTGTATTATATACCAAAAGGCTTCTAGCCTAACGGTACTAGATGTTGCCCTCCCTCCTCGAAATCGAGAGTTCAAGTCTTGTTCGGGACATAGGTGATTCAACTTCAGCTCCAAGGCTCCAGCATACCGTCACAGCGGGATAATATCTAATCATAAATGATTATATGACGGGAGGGATAATATCTAATCATAAATGATTATATGACGGGAGGGATAATATCTAATCATAAATGATTATATGACGGGAGGTATAATGATATATGATTATACATGTTTATACATATATGCCTAATCATAAATGATTGTACATATATGTATGTTCACAAAGTGATTAATCATATATGATTCAGGTGGTTTGTGGCAGATGAGAGGTGGTGGCAGAGGTGGCAGTCAGGGGCGGAGCATACTAAGGGCTAGGGGGGGCTGTAGCCCCCCTGTTTTTTGGCTTATAACTAGTTTTATCTACTAATTCTTATACATATTAGACATAAAATTATAAAATTTAGGCTTTGGCCCCTGCTGTTTTTTTTAAGAAACTATAGTTTTCGTTTCGGCCCCCCCAAATAATTTGTTCAAGCTCCGCCACTGGTGGCAGTGGTAGGGTCGGCTGGTGGTAGCAGTAGTGGTGGCGATGACGATTGTGGTGGTAGAGAAGGTGGCGGAGGAAAAAGGAACGTGCGACGCTGCATAATCATTTATGATTATAATTCTCCCATCACAACAACGATACGTTGGAGCGCTAGAGCGACAAATGAAAAATATATGACTGAGGTTGAATCTCAATTTTTCTACTTTTTTAGGAATTTCAACGCAACCTATATATATATATATATATATATATATATATATATATATATATATATATATATATAACAAATTATATTTTATATTAAATTATTAGGCCATATATAAAATCCAATAGTGATATTCTTGATTAAACTTCTTTTTTTTTTAAATTCATCAATAAAAACTATTCATAGTTTGATTTTTTCTAAGTTGAATACTTCTACATAGCACGTTAAAATTGTCTAGAACAATATTTAAAATTTAATGGTTTAAATAAAAAGTTTTGCATTATACATTTTATTAAAGTCATTAAACTTTTAAATAGATATAATTATAAATTTTGATATAATTTTAATTATATTATCACATATTATATAATTATAAATTTTGATATAATTTTAAATATATTATCGTGTATTATTAACTTTAGTCACTATACTATTTTATTAAATTTTTTTACTAAAATAGATTCAAAAAATTCCCCCAACTATATCACCCCGAGATTTGATCGAAACCAATCACTTGTTACTACTTCAAATATACAAACTAGAAACATTTTTGGTTTCAATCATTCAACACTATTTTACCGTACACAATTAGATGTCCATATTTTCTTACCCAACCGATTATAAGCAAACTTATTTTTGAGCATTTTTAGATTTTATTTTTATAAATCAAAAAGTAGCTTATAAACTAGTTTTTTAGATAGCTACTAATATTAGCATTTCAAAGAGTTTGAAGAGCTTTTTTAACATTCTTCCTAGTATAGCCTTTATTAAGAAAAAACTTCAAAAATGTTGTAACAACCCGAAAATCCTTTCGTAGACGACATTAACCTTCCGTTACTTGAATATAAGTGGTGGTAAAGTTATTTCGATTCTAAGCGTATTAATTGAAATAAACTAAAGAAAAGATATTAATTAATATCTAAAAGAATTAATCAATAAATTTAAAAGGGTGTTAATTTTTACCTAAGAGTTTGATGATTAGGGTATTTAAGATGATTCTAAAAAAAGGGGGCTTACTATGAAGTAAGGGGCCAAGGTGTCACTAAAAGAAACTTAATTTGCCAAATAACTATGGTTAGGGAAAATTGGATGCAAGATTGGATAAGGAGGGGTTTATTTACGAAATTCGGAATGTAACAGTATTATAGGGACTTTGATCGATCCAATTTCCATCGGTTCCTCTTGGACATTACGCACGGATTAAAGGAGTAGACAAAAAAATCGATCCTTAGTTGTCCCTTGTGAGTTGTATCACACGTCAGGATTAAAGAAAGGAAAAAAAATCGCATGATCGTCCTTGGGTCTGGTTTGTTATTCGTCAATCAACAGGGGATGAAAGGAATAGCGGCAAAAGAGTATTGGATTTCGCTGCAACCTGGGGAAACTATCCCAAAAAGAGAAGAATACTATTAGGAATTTGCTATGGTACGATTTGGAGTTTATGGAAAGCACAGAATGATAGAATTTTCAGAAAAAAGATGACAACTCCTGCGATGGTAACTGATATCGTAAAGGCATCGGTATTTATGTGGTTCAAACATAGGAGTAACGGTGGTAGCAACAATTTCAATTGGACTAAATGGTGCATTAATCCCTTTGCGGATTAAATTTTAAACTTAGAGTTTAATTTGTTTATATTGAACTCTAATTGGAGGTCTTTTGTATTATTTATCTGTAAATGTAATTCTCTCTGTTTCCCTCCTCCTGCATAGATGAGGTTTGGGTTTTTCCTCTTTCTTCTTAATAATATTTGCCCGTTAAAAAAAAAAAACCCACGTTAATGCTTCTAATGATGTTAATATCACATTAATGTTTATGTGATGTTAATACCACTTATTAATGCACTTCATTGATCACGTAACTAAACGGATAATAACCCACAAATTATTTCATTTCTTTTTTAAATGATTTAAAGTTAATGAGGTTCATTTATTCTTTAGATGAGTGATAACAGTAATCTTCTTGTTGTATTCTTTTAATTATAAATTATTTTGTGTTTTTGTAATTGATTTACACTTTGGGTATTCCAATATGTGTTTTTTTTTTCTAAAATTCGATATCGATAGTGTTGGTGTTTTGTTCTTTTAGTTTGTTCTGTAGCACAAGTGGATGAAATTCATAAGCTTGAATTTTTTCTTCTAATGCATCGATTAGACTACAATCCATTACTGATACATATGAGTTATTAACAAAACAATTTTCCCTTTTAAACATCTCTTGCTGTTTTGTTGTTGTTGAGGCGTTTATCCGAGTTGATTCATCTTCATATTCAGATAGGGTTTTTTTTTTTTAATGATTTGAAATAACTTGTTAGTATTTCTCTTTTTTACATAGCATTGTTCAGAGGTACCTCTGTAGATACATTGTCATCATTCTTGTTCCTTAAGAGTGGAGAAATAGTGGACAAAGTTGTGGGTGCTAATAAGGATGAATTTAGATTTGGATAAATATAATATACAAGTAGTTTATGGAGAGTATATATGTTATTTTAAACTTGTATTTATAAGAGGGGTATAAAAGTCAATATATTACAATCGACAAAGACTTTTTTTTAATTTGAAATAAGATGCTTAATAAACTATATTTATATAACGTCGACCAAAATTAGGTTTCCCATATATTACAAACACAATATGTACATCAAAGGGTTCTTATTCTATACAATGCAAAATTCCCCAATAAAAAATTTAAGCTAATTATGCAGCAATATAAAACTAATTTCTTTCACTCTCTTCCATTTTTAATAATATCTCAAATCTCATATGCATATGCATAGTAAGGCATCCCATAGTTGCCGTAGTAGTATTGGTACGGATTTGTTTCCTTTGCGGCATCTGGTTTCTTCTCCTCCACCGGACCAACACTCACTAGTTCTGTGTATCCGACACCTTTCCTTAGCAAGGTCGTCAGTTCAACTGAGTCAATTCCTTCTCCGGTCACCGCTATCTGGTCTTTATCTGAACCCATGAAAGAAGCTGATTCCACACCTGTTAAATATTAATATTCAGATCATGATTTAGTCAAGTAATTCAATCAATTCCAATTGAGGTTAACATTTAAGTCGTAAAAGTGAAACTAGCGATTTCTCTGGAAAACTACACTCGTTTGAAAAATGGGATACTTGATATATATGAACTTGAGAATGTGAAAGTAGTAGTAAAAGAAATTGTGAAGGGACATGATCTTACCGAAGAGACTAACGGCGATTTGAAGAGCCTTACGAGTTTTCTTTTCAGTGTTCATAGTGACCTTCACCACAATCTTTTGCTGCAAAACCAATCAATTACACAAATTGAGATCGAGTATTCGAAAAATATTCAAAACAGAGTTGAATTGAACGAGTGATAAGGTATGTACCTTTGCCATTTCTGTAATTAGATGATGATTTGGATCTAGTAAATCGGAAAATAATTGGATATAGAGAAGATGTGTGAAGAGTGAAAGTTCTTAGAGGGTATTTATAGAGCGTCCATGGAGTTCACAGTAAATCACATAGGAGGAAGACGACGAGGTCAACGTCGTCGTAAGGAAACTTCCCACTATTTTCAAATAATTTGATTACTTTTCAAAGCTTTTGTTTACATGCGCGTTATTTAGATAAATGTTTCAAAGTACCCTTTTGCTTTTTTACAGCATTATTATTCAAATAAAATAAGCCTCACATACAAATGAATAAAGGTAATAATAGGTGATACATAATACTTTTTCTTATACATGTATCTTATTGTTATTGTTAGATTACTATTTACTAACAAAAGTTATAGTATAAACTGACAATTAAACATGTGGTTTTGAAATTGGGTTTTATTGAAACTTTCATATTAAATTATTGATAAAATTGTAAGTTTGGTCCTTGTGCTATGATATAACCTGATTTGAGATGGTTAGTCTCCCAAGAAGCAAGAGTAAGAAGCACGATTGGAGCAATTTTTCTGAATAATCCTTAATAACAAAATTACAATCCTATAAATACTAATGCAACGATACTTCAATCCTAATTCTACTGAATATGGAAACTTGCAAGTTAGTCAGGGAACATGGGTAGTTCCTTGTATCATGGAGAAATGCATGCAAACTTAAAAGGGAAATGGCGCTAGTGGTCACAGATTGACCAGTTCTTCAATCTTCAATCTTGGAATCGGCGGGGTCTTCTGATAATTCCCTTGGGTCGGTTCTGTTCTTGGGCTGCTGTTGGTTGGACTTCCTGAGTGGACTGGATCGCATCAATACCCCCTTCCAAGAAATCGGACTTGTCCTCAAGTCCGGTAATGAAATATGGAAACCTGAGTTTGAATTCTCTTGAATCTTCCCAGGTTGCTTCAGATGGATCTTGGTGTTTTCATTTGATGAGCACTTGGTTGATTCATGGATCTATTTGGTGGTGTTGGAGGACCCGCTCTGGAACTGGAATGTTATCAGTTAAATCAGATCGCCATTCACTGGGAAATTCTGTCGCAATTGGTTGCGGAGAGATACGTGGACTCATGACATGGGTGGTAGTTGTAGTCAGTAGGCTACTGGTCTGACTTGTTCAAGAATTTTGTAGGGCCCGAAGAACCTTTTAGATAGCTTTTGACTTTATCTTGCTGCTACTAAATGTTGTCGGTAATTACAGAGACGAAGATAAACCAGATCACCCACTTGAAATTGTTTATCCATCCGTTTCTTGTTGGCCTGTTTAGTCATCCAGTTTTGGGCTTGTGAAAGGGTTGTTTTGAGAAGCTCAATGAGACGTTGGTGTTCCAGGAGAGAGGCATCAATGGATGTTATAGTGTTAGAGCCTGTGGTATAGTCGTGAAAGGTAGTCGGTTCACGTCCGTACATAGCTTTGAATGGAGTCATGTGGGTAGATGAATGGAAGCTAGTGTTGTACCAAAATTCTGCTAAGTATAAGTAACGCTGCCAGAAGCGGGGTTCATCATGAACGAAGGCTCGAAGGTACGACTCAAGGCAATGGTTGACGACCTCAAATTGGCCAACCGTTTGAGGGTGGTAGGCGCTCGAATTTCGGAGCTTTGTGCCTAATTGTTTGAACAGTTGGGTCCAAAAATGGCTTAAGAACACGGGGTCTCTATCGGATGTAATGGAGTTGGGTAGCCGTGGAGGCGATAGATATCTCGTAGGAAGATCGTGGCTAAGGAGTGAGCTGTGATGTGGTTAGGGAGGGCCAGGAAATGAGCAAATTTTCTGAGTCGGTCAACAATGACCCTTATGATCATTTTCCGTTGGAGGGTGGGAGATGGGTAATGAAGTCCATTGTAAGATCGTTCCATGGTTTAGTTGGTATGGGAAGGGGTTGGAGGAGGCTGTAAGGCTTGTGGGTGGGGTATTTGGTGGTTTGACAAGTGGAGCATTGGTTAATGAATGTGGTAACCTCTTGTTTGAGTTGTGGGCAATAGAATGAAGATGATATGCGACGAACATTAGCTTGTATTCCAACATGGCCTCCAAGTGTTGAGTTGTGAAATTCCTGCAAAAGTAAGGAACGTACATGTGGAATGTTAGGAATAAGGAGGCGGTTATGGATAAATACCAAGCCGTTGTGAACTGTATGATTTGGGAGTGAAGGCGAATCGTGCTTTAATTTTGCAATCAAACTCTTGCCCTCGGGGTGGTTAGTGTAATAGGAATGCAGGTCATTTAACCAAGTGGTTGTGGGTCCAGTGAGCGCCATGAGTTGTGGTGGTTCGGTGCGACTAAGGGCATCGGCTACTTTGTTTTCTTTGCCTGACTTATAGTGGAGTTCGAAATTGTATCCCAATAATTTTGTGATCCATTTGTGTTGTTCGGGTGTTTGGAATGTTTTGTGAGGAGGTGTTTAAGGCTATGGTAATCAGTGTAGACACGAAATTTGCGACCTAAGAGATATTGTCGCCATTTTTTGATGGCTTCAGTCATGGCGTATAATTCTCTTATATAGGTGGAGTTTTCCTACATTCTATCACACAATTTCTTGCTGAAAAAAGCGATAGGCTTATCATGTTAGGATAGAACCACGCCTATTGCCACTCCAGAGGCATCCGTGGTGATGTCGAAGGGTTCTGAGAAGTTAGGAGGGCGAGGGTAAGCAGTTGGGTCATCGTCGTTTTGAGGGAAGCGAAGGCAGTGGTGGCGTTCTCGTTCCAAGAAAAGGTGGGCTTTTTGAGGAGGTCCGTTAGTGGGGCAGCGATATGGGCGTAGGCTTTGACAAACCGCCGATAATATCATGCAAGGCCCAGAAAGGCGCACAAGGTAGTGAAGGAGGTGGGTGTGGGCCAGGCTTGAATCGTTGATAGTTTCTCTGGGTCGGCATCGACACTTTTGGCAGATATAATATGCCCTTGGAATGGAATAGATGTAGCATCGAATTGACACTTGGAAGCCTTGGCGTGATAATCGTTGTCCATTAGTGTCTGAAAAACGAATTGTAAGTGTCGATAATGGTTTTTGATGGTAGGGCTGTAGACAAGGATGTCATCCAAAAAAACTAGAACGAATTTGCGCAGCACTGATGTAACACCCAGTATGAGAAAGGCCAAGAAAGGAAGGAAAACCCTAAGTCAAAAGGGGGTCAACTCGTCGAGTCCAAGGAAGAACTCGACGAGTCGGAGCGGGATCCGGGTGCAAGATTAAGTGACCGACTCGACGAGTCGGAGAGTGGACTCGGCGAGTCAGGTCTGGGTTAGGAAGCCCTAATTTCGGGACTTGGTACCCTATTTAAGCATCTTATTCTCTTCCCTAGGGTTCATTTACAGCCTCTCTCGTCCAGAACCCAAAACCCTAGCCACCCAACTCCATTGTTTGAGCTTTTGAGAAGATTAAGGGCCTTTAGAGTGCATTTTGGAAGCTTGGAGAGAAAGGAGCAAGGAAGGAAGAGTAGATCCAGCCTCCATATCGACTTGGCAACTTTTAGGAGGTAAAAAGTCTGAACCTTGAGCTTTCAATTGATAGATCCCCTTTCTAGCTTGCCTTTTGTCAAAATTGGATCATTTCCAAGTAGAATCAGAGTATTAAGCCGTTAAGGATGGATTGGACAACAGATCTGAACACTCTTGAGCTTTAGAAGCTCAAAGTTGTTGGCTTTATCCAACTAAGGTCCCATTTCATGACCTAGGCCTTCATTGTAGCTTGGAATAAGTATTATAGCCTCATAACACCTTGCATGCACGTAAATTTAGCAACTTTACGTGCAATGCTAGCATTAGGAGTCCAGATATATGATTTGGAAGTGATGGAATGGACTGTAATCGACAGAATAGAGATGTCACAAGGTGGACTCGACGAGCCCGTTTATGGACTCGGCGAGTCGGGTCGCAAACCCAAACCCTTCTGTTATGATTCGGATCAGTGAGTGGAGTTAGTGAAGGATTCAGCCAGACTGGGTCCGTAATGGACATGAAGATCATAGTACTCGACGAGTTTGATGAGGAACTCGGCGAGTCCAAGACAATCTCCTTAGTTATGAAGATGAACTCGACGAGTTGTTCATACAACTCGACGAGTCATGGTCTAGACATTCATACGATGATGATGAACTCGACGAGTTCAAGGATGAACTCGGCGAGTCGGTTAAGATAGTCCCGAAGTGTTAGATGAAGGAGAACTCGTCGAGTCCTCGCTAGACTTGACGAGTGGAGTCGGGGTTGTTTGGGACTTGAGGAGCATGGACTCGGCGAGTTGGTCGGACAACTCTACGAGTCGAGTCAACTGGAAGGTTGACTTTGACCTTGAGAAGGACTTTGACCAGATTTGACTTAGTTGACTTCCTGATGACAGTTAGGCTAAGTGTTTCTATTATTGGTATTGGTAGCTCGGGGAGCTAGAGGAGCAGCAATTTGGAGAGTTGTTAGATAGCAGCCAGAGGGTTATCAGCAGTTTCAGCAGTACGAGGTGAGTCTCCTCACTGTGTGCATGGGTCTATGGCCACAATTTCGGCCCATTATGTTTATGCTTATGGTTATGTATAGTAGGAAGACCCGGGGGTTAGCCCTAGGAACTTATTGTGATTTGTTCGGATTTAGATCTGCTACCGGGGTTAGCCCGATGCAGCTTGTATGTTCCGGATTTCGGTCCGATGTCGGGTGGTACCCGAGGCAGTAGCGTATGTGTAGTTATACTGGTGTCTTTGTGATACTTGTATGTGCCTGGTAGGGAGGTGAGTCGGGCGAGGACCCGTATCTCATCACTATTCGAGTACGGACGGGGTTCTGTATCTCATTAGTAGCAGAGCAGGGGCGAGGCCCGAGTTAGTAGGGAGGTGAGTGTGGGCGGGGGCCCGTATCTCGCTATCAGCAGGAGCGTAGACGGGGTTCCATGACTCACCAGTAGCAGGACAGGGGCGAGGCCTTAGATCAGTAGTACAGTAGAGTATGTTTAGCTTTATGATATGTGTTACGCGATATGATTGTATATGCTTAGCAGGCGAGGCTCGGAGACAGGCGGGGCCTAAGTGAACAAATATGTATACCGAG